TTCTGATTACACGAGGTGTTTTTCACTGTATTAAAAATATTTATAGGGGCCGAAAAAGGCAAAGGGACCTGCTACTGTTGATGGAGTAGATACAACCAAAATGAATAGGGAGCAATTAGAAATTTATGCTCACAAAATACTTGAAGAAATGGAACGTGAAAGGGAAGAAAGAAATTTCTTCCAGTTGGAAAGAGATAAGATCAGAACTTTTTGGGAAATTACAAGACATCAATTAGAGGAAGCACAAGCAACTGTCAGGTACTTCTATGATTGTGTATTTGATTACAAAGTTAATACTTTATTGTAAATTTAATTAATACATACCTTTTATAAAGAAATAAAGAACGTGAAAAAGAAGAGCTTGCAGAAAAACATGAAGCAGAACTTAAATTATATAAACAGAAAGTGAAACATTTGATGTACGAACATGAGACTAACTTATCAGAAACTAAAGCTGAACATATGGTTGCTCTTAAAATGGCACAGGATGATCATACTCTTCAAGAAAATGAATTAATCAATGATAAGAGAGAATTAAAAAGATTGCAAAAAGAACAAGATTTAGCACATATGAATGAAATAAAAGAACTGAAATTGGTATGAATGGAATGCAAAATATTTTCTATTGCAGTTAAAAAATTTGTATAAATCGAAATTTATTATTTAGCAACATGCAGCAGAAACAGATAAATTAATAAAACAATTTGAAACTGAAGCTGCAGAATTAGAACAAAAATATGAACAGAAATTGGCAAGTCAATATGAGTCTCTTACACTGAAACACCGGATGGAAATAACTGAAGTGGAAGAGAGGAAAAATACACAAATTGCAAATCTGATAAAAAACCATGAAACAGCATTTGCAGAAATGAAAACTTATTACAATGACATTACTCTTAACAACTTGTCCTTGATAAAGAGTATGAAGGTATAATTTATTTCAAGATGATGTTGTTCATTTAGTAAAATTTCTTATTTTGTAGGAACAAATGGATGTAATGAGAAGTAACGAGGAGCGAATGAAGAAACAAGTGCGGGAATTAACGAATGAAAATAAAAAATATGCTACTGATGTAAAGTCGTACGAAGAATCCTTAGCGAATTACACTCGTCAACTGGCAAATTATGAAAAAGACAAACAAAGCTTAGTTGTCAGTATTCAAAATTTTTATTACCATGTATCGATGACTTATATACAATACCTTAATAATTTCAGAATACCAAAAAGAGATTAGCAATAACTAGTAAAGACCTGGAAAATTTAAAATGGGAAAATGAAGTATTAGAATTACGTTTTGAGAAAGTACATAAAAACAATTTATAGATTTTTTCTGGTAGAATTACAGTCTATGTTATTCTAACAAAAATATGGTACTTTATTTTTAGTGTCAGTTTGAAAGAGATGAATTGCATTCGAAATTTGTTTCTGCAATACTCGAACTTCAACAAAAGACAGGGTTGAAGAATGTTCTTCTGGAAAAGAAACTTGAAAAGTTATCAGATTTATTGGAGCAACGCGAGGCACAAATTAGCGAAGTGCTCGCTGCTGCTCAATTGGACCCAATGGCTGTTATTAATGCTAATAAAAAATTAGAGGTTTGCACGTACATATTTTTTCTTCCAGTACTTTACACACAAGTACATTTTCTTTTTTTTTGTGCAGAATATGCTGAACAGAAAAAATAGCGCAATACAAGATCTCCAGTATGAATTGGTGAAAGTTTGTAAAGCTCATGACGACTTACTTCGAACATACGAAGCTAAATTACACGAATACGGAATTCCAAAGAGCGAACTTGGTTTTCAGCCATTGAGAGCAAAGGCAATAAGTGCAAAGTTTGGATTGGGACCTGCTGGTCTTGTTACGTCGAATCGCTAATACATCATATGGAATATACATTCACCAATAATGTAGGGTGTAAAAATAATAAAGTGGTATGGGTGCAAAGAAAATTCAGATAACCTTTGATGCAGAATATCTTTATTTTGTGAAACAAATAAGTCTCAGGGCATCCATTTTATTTTTTTTACAAATTACATAAAATTATCACAGAATGTACAGAGTAGATCATGTTGGTGCCTGATAGTTGTCTACATGTACAATTCTATCTATTCAATCATCTATTCAATCTCTTTACCATTTCATTTTAGTCATAAATTGTAATGCATTTCCATATCACGTTTTCTTATAATTGTTTTTATGACATTTTTTTTTGTTTTTAATATTTAACAACTAACAGGCACGATTATACTGAAG